CGCCAGGCAGAGTGGGGATGATTTACAATCCGGCCAGTAGTTGGATTGTTTGCCACCACCTGGGCCATTCATAAGCAGCCTTTGTAACCAAATTTTTCACAAAGCCGTATATATCTGAAGAAAGTCTCTCTCTTTTTTTTTTGTAAAGTTCCATGAGAGCTTCAGAGGTGAGACATTCTTTGGCTCAAACTAAAGGTGGCTGTTTTGCCCGGGCTCCTTCTTTGGGTGTTTTTAGTAACCAGGGATACTCAGGCTCCCGAGACTCTCTTTTATTTTAATTGACTTTGGCCAGCAGGAGGCTTGTGTCCATTCAAACCTTTCTGGCCGTAGCGAGAAGGGGGAGGGATGAAAAGAAAGTGAATAGCTCTCCCTCAGTAACCAGAGAGTGCAGCCCACTGCAGACGTTCTTGTTAGTTTGCTCATGGTCTTTGTTCTCCTTTCAGCCCTCCAGGCTAAATGTCTTCAAACAAGCAGCTCGGGGGTCGTGATTCTCTTTGACACGTTAACAGCAGAAGAAGGCCTCCGTTGTTACACTTCATGTGGGAACCTGTGACAAAGCACTGACCATAATGGCACCATGATTTGATGACAGGATGTGTACTGTATGTTTGCATGGACATTAGTGACCGGTGCCAAGTGGGAGTCCACGGTTGACAAGGGAGCAGGTGTCTGTTAGATACAGGGATGGGAGGAAGGGAGATGGTGGGTGAGGAGAGGAGGGGAGTCAGAAGAGCCCTTGGCATCTGCTTTACCTGCTGCGTCCCCCACCCCAAAAAAACAAAACAAAACAAAACAGAGAGACTGGGTGAGAAAAGTGACTTTTTTGTTTTACAATATCCGTCACTGGCGCATTGAAGTATTGTTTTTCCACAGGTGGCGCTCATGTGCAGTCATTCACTCACTTCTCATGGTTATGTTACATCTCATGTACATCAGCTATAAAAGTTGGTGTCAACATTGCATTAAAAACCGTGAAACTCACAGTTGGACACAGTCATCAGTCTCCGTACATGGTTTCAGCTTTTACAGGGACTATTTCTTTGTGCGGATGGATTTATAGTTGACACCGGCAATGAATAGGAGTCACATTGATACATAAAGCATCTAGGGTGATTTATCATTTTCATAACAGTTGACAGACAATAAAGAATACACTGCAGGTGTGTGATTACAGTGCTGCGTTGGCCAAGTTGGTGATAGTAACTGTGGGAATGGGCGTCTGAGCCTCTGATGAGTATTTGCAGTAGAGATGACGTCATATGTGGTGCGTATTACCAATTTCACTACCCCGTAGTGAATATGATGAGTTTTTTTCTGTACCTTCCCATTGTGTTTTATGATGTTTTTAGCTGCAGCAGCCTGGGACGTCGTAGCAACAGAGTCTCTGCACACAGTGATAAAATTGTTGGACACACAAGATAAAAATCAATTTTTAAACTGCACAACCCTCTTATTTACTGTCATGTAAGATAAAGATATTGAAGGGGGATTTTTTTTAAACAATAGATGTTTTTTTTTCTCTTGACAGATTCAAATCATTGACAAATAGCAGCTACTACATGTCAGAGAGGAAATGTGTTTTTTGTTTTTTTTTTTGTGATTTGGCCGGACTGACCCTTGAATGTAGAGGTCGGCTTTTGGTTCACAGGAGCAAAAAGAATCAGGGATTTTATTCAGTGCTGTTTATCTGTGTGCCTCCTGTCAGTGAAAGGTGGGTTGGGGGAGCATTATCATTGGGAAGAACATTGAACAACTGTCAGAGATGGAGTCAATGTCATTTGTCATGTTGCTATCCTCCCCCTCCCCTCACGGGCTCCGTGACAGTGGGTGAAGCCGGAGCTGGAGCTGCAGGCCCGACTATTGAACCCACCCATCTTGTCCCAGCAGATGCATTTACCGCCCTTCGCCATGACTGACCATCAGGCTGTGCAGCTGAGCACCAGAATATCAATATGGCTCAGACTGGGCCGGGCCCCTGGGACTATCTACAAGGCAAACAGAGAGGGCTCCTCTCCTTATGGAGGATGGAGAACAATTGCCGCCAGGGAGACCAGTGTAAACAGAAAGATGCTCTGCAGCAACAAAACAGCACTTTAATTCACTCGGTCGGAGTGGTCGGAGCTTCGGATGAAGTTGCTCTTGAGAGGATCATTTCCAGTTTTGGCCTCCTCTCAGAGTGGGACAGGGATGAGTCCATTCAAGGCCTGGCTGTGGTAAAACAGGAGGTGACAAGCACTAATACTTAAGTGTTTCTCTTCCCCTCTGTCCTAGGAGACGGCTGAGTGAAGAACGATATTGGTTGACTCTTCCTCCTCCTGTCACATGAAACCTGAGGTTTATCCTGGGAGTCAATGACAGAGTGTGTCTCCTCCCAAACATGTCGGTGCTCAGTGGATGTGGTAATTTTCTGCTGTGATAAGCCCTTTTTTATTTAATGGTGGGGAAGAATAATTCCTTTTTAAGGAGCTGCTCTGGCGTTCCTCCCCTTCTTTCCCTCATTCTCGGGTATATATTGTTACTTCAGCTCGATACTGTGGTTGTTGATTTTGTCCTGCGGCTGTTGATGTCGTCCTCAGCGTGAACCAGGCACGGCGTCCCCCTTCGCCAGACGGCCTCGCAGTGCAAACAGCAAAGAGATACATTTTGGAGACGTGTTTATCAACATAGACGAAGTGCAAGCTAGCCCTTGTTTGAAGAGAATAATGGGAGCTAATTGAGCTGTAACACACTGGCTGGTCGCCAGGCCCTCGAATTGAAATCTCTTTCTATCAGATGGAGATGTGTTGACAGAGAGGGAAACTGTTGAAACGCTACATGACGTTGATGGGGAAACTCATAAAGCTATTAGCTGGCTGTATTTAATTAATACCAGTCTGTAACTGTGGCATTTGTCAGAGAGAAGCACCTGAGAGGCCTTTTTCTGTCTCCCAAAAGCACCGCCGCGGTAAAGTCGGATCAATCCTCCAGAGGAACAGCACAGCCTGTCTCCTGGCACCTGCGTGCCAAGAAGAGGAGGGAGGGAGGGAACGAAAGAGGAGGAAGAAGAAAAAAAAGAGAGAGGGAGCATGAGCGGGTGGGAAGGAAGAAAAACCCAGCTGCTTCTATGCCTCAGCCACATGCTGCTTTTAAAGGAGCGGGAGGGAGTGGAGGCAGGGGAGAGGGAGAGGTGAGGAGACGAGAGGAGAGGAGAGGAGAGGAGAGGAGAGAGACTGCTGGCACCATCTGTACATGTCTTTTGTATTCCAGCCCTCATCTTTTTACAGAGCAATGCTGGTGTGCTCAGTGTTCAAATGAAAAGAGAGGAGCTGCCTTTCTGGGTGCCATGCTCTGAGAGGAGAAGGTGTGTGTTTGTGTACTGATGCAGAAATGCTGGTTTGTCCTCGGAAAATTCGCCGCACTCGGAGGACGTCTCATGCCTTGTCTGTGTTACCTCAATGTGTGTGTGTGTGTGTATTTGTAAATGTGTGCGGGTGTGGGAGAGAGGGAGAGTGTGTCACTGGGCTGGTTGCTCTGTTTGCAAGCACTTATGTACGGTCAAATCTTTGGGTTGCCATGTTTGTGATGGGAGTCAGAAGCTTTTGTTTGTTCCTTCCTCCCATCGGCCCCATTAGCCTGATGTCTCCTCGCTCACTGACAAACTCAACCTTTCTCTCTCTCCCTCTCCACCTCCTTCTCTCTCTCCCTCCCTCTCTTCATCTCTTTGTGATGTGTGCACTGGTGGGCCATCCTTGCATGTAACAGCAGGGTGGGCGAATCTGCCTGCGCTGTCTGCTGTCATATTGACGTGGCTTTTTCACGAGCAAACTGCAGCTGAAATCACAAAGTGCTCTGTCGCTCCCATCCGTCCCCTCCCTCGCTCCTCCGCTCAGCCTACAAGTACTGTGAATCACAGAGGTGGTGGCTGCCCTGCTCTTTGATTGAATCCACATTCCCTCTCTCCTGTGGCACCGCAGAGGGAGGCCACCAGGAGGAGCAGAGGGAGGAAAGATTGAGTGAAAAGGGGGGGAGAAGACTTTTGCAGTTTGCTCAGTACAAAAACATGTGCTGCAGATGAAACACATTTGATTTTGATCAGATCAGATGCCCTCTCTGTGGCGGTTGCCTGACTGTGTGGTCGGTAGGGAGGTGGAAAGAGGGAGTGACAGGCTGGGGTTCATCTGCGGGCCCAGAGTGAACCCTAGTGGTAGAGCGCAGCAGTGACGTATGGGACTCAGGCTGGTGTCTTTGTTGCTGCACCATTGTCTGATTTTTGATTTTTTATATATATATATATATATATATAAAGACATCCTAGTTTCAATGACTAAGCAAATACTTTTGCTTCTTTTTTTTGTCTAATAATTTTGGAGTAAAACAGAAATGACCATTTAAACAGAGAGGAGCTTCACAGCTACTTTATTTCTAAGAATTCTAGTTTAAAATAAGAACCTCTGCCCATCGTAGTTAAACTATCACTTACAGCAGTGTTTCCCAACCTTTTTTGAGCCACGGTACATATATATCATCAGGAAAAACCCCACGGCACACCACCAAACAAAAATCTATATAAGTATATATAATATACTTTTAGTTTAAACTTACTAAAAATGTACTCCTGTTTAGTTGAAGACAACGCTCATATAGTGGCAGGAATTGAAGAAAGACACTCACAAAGATCTTCTTCAACAGCTCTGATTATCTTTTTTTAGTTTTAATAACCATCTGCTGGAAGAGAGGACCAATTAAGTGACATTGGTTAATTTTTCGCGGCACACCTAATGATCTCTCACAGCACACTGGTGGGCCACGGGACAGGGGTTGGGAATCACTGACTTACAGTCAGTTGATTGATAGCATGAAGTTCAGAGACAGGCCTGTTGGCTGTTTGTGTATTTCCTCTGACTAACATACTGTTATTCTGAAGTAAAAGTTTTGAAACTGTGTCATACTTTTTGTGGTGTGCAGTGACCTCTGCGGTTGTTTCTCTACCACCACTACACTCTTTCTCCTTTCTTTTCCAGCCCTCCTGTCCTCGTGGTGTGAGGAGCTGGGCCGCCTCCTCCTCCTCCGTCACCAGAAGAACAGACAGAACGAGCCACCTGGAAAAGTGCCCATGCAGCCCCCCATGAGTTCCATGAAGCCCAGCCTCTCACATGGGTCAGTGTTCACACTGCTGTACTTTACTGGCCTGCATGTGAGTGTGTGTGTGTGTGTGTGTGTGTGTGAACGAACACACTGTGCCCTCGGGGAAAGCCCTTCTTCTCCACATAAAGCCAGTGTTCCTCATGGATCAGTGACCAGAAAACCTGCCAGACCTACAGTACTGCTTATAGCAGTCCACGGGGACAGAGAGGAACTCTCTGGACCTCAGAGACGTGTCTAATAATTACAACACACAACATCCTTGTATTTATAGCCTTACTAATAAAACCTCTTCCCTTCTATGTCTTTGGTCGTAGCTCTGATATTAACGCTGTGACACAAGGCACATTTTGTTTACACTACTTTAGTTCAGACTGATTTATTTCTTGCAGAGATGGGTCGTTTCCCTACGACTCAGTTCCCTGGCAACAGAACGCCAATCAGCCTCCAGGTTCGTTGTCCGTGGTGACCACAGTCTGGGGCGTTACCAACACCTCACAGAGCCAGGTGAGTTTCCTTACCGCAAAGTTTCTTTGAGTGGACTGTAGCTGACAGGATATCTGACTTTATACAATCTTGCCACTAGAAGGCTCTGGACTGGATACCACCTAGCGACCACTAAGAAAACGGGGGGGAAAAAGTCACTCCTCAAATTGTACATGCTGCATTATTTCAGACCACAGAAACAGAGAGTGTATTTTTACAGCATACCTTGTATTTTCTAAGTTTGGGAGCAGAGCTTTTACCTGGCAACAAACTGTATTTGCAGAATTATTTTGGTCACATGCTAAAATTAGTGCCTTTTATTCAAAGTTGAAAGGAAGTAGTATGACAGTATATTTCCTTCAGCGTTGAATACTTTGTACTTAGGTAGAGATACAGTTCAAAAGTCTTGCGGTGTTATAGATCTATAAGGAATAGATGATAAAAAAGAGGCAACATTTGCCAACTGGGGGCAATTCTTCCCTCTCCTCCATGTAAAAATAACAGTTTGAGCTGAAGCTAATAAACTGTATATCCTTGTTTCAAGTCATATGTGTGAAACTTAATGTTTTCACTCATGCTGGCAGGATGCAGTCTGTTGAATGTTGCTGACTGCTGACTGTGTCTTTGTCCATCAGGTGTTGGGTAATCCCATGGCCAGCAACAACAATCCCATGAATGCTGGTGGCAACCCTATGGGCTCAGGAATGTCTGGAAACAATCCAGGAATGAACTCGCCTCAGTTCCCTGGGCCTCAGCAGCAGTTCCCTAACAAAGGCAACTCCAACCAGGGCTACATGCAGCAAGGCATGTACGGACGACCCAACTACCCCGGAGGAGGAGGCTTTGGTGGAAAGTAAGTGGACATTAGTGTGTGTTATTACAGTCTCTAGATTAAATGTCAGCAATAAAAAAAAAGTAACTCACACTTAATTGCCATCTTCCCACATAATGACTTCTGATCAGTTCTGATGAGATGTTGCTTCTTTTTACAGCTACCCAGGAGGCCCCAACGCAGGACCTGGTTCGATGGGCATCCCTCCCCACTCTCGTCCTCCCTCGGATTTTGCCCAGCCTGCTGCTGCCGCCGCCGCTGCAGCAGTCGCGGCGGGCGGCGCCGGGGCCAACCCCCCTTCCGCGGGCAACCCGG